AAATTCACTTCTCTCTAAATCAGAACCACTACATTTTTCAAATATTTTCCTGTGGAGAAGTACCTTTAAAAAGAAAAAACATGCTCAGCAGAAATATAGTATAGCTGATTGTTCTGAGAGAGAACAGTGATTTTGTTGTTTCTGAATTCCTATTTATCTTTCCTGATCATTCGGGGAAGGCAAGGACAAGTTTACTTGACTCTAGGTTTATGCTGGTGTTTCAGAGCCAATTACATTCATGCACTTAACCAATTTGACTGAGTAGAAACTGTATTCTGATGGACTACACAATTCTCCGATTTCATCACATGAAATATTGTGTTTCTGCTTTCTGTCTTTCATTTGTTAAATGATGTGAATTAATGATAAAAAGCACAACAATTGGAGACAGAAAGTATAGACATGGGGAGTGGGGAAGAAATCAGATCACTAGAGAATCATTTCTTACTAAAAAAGTCTTTCCCTCACAGTATTAACACAGTATTGTTGCTATACTGCAATTTCAACTTCTCACCGGAGGCAAACTTAAGCTGACAAATTGGGATTGTGTGTTTAGAATCACAAAACGACTTCAATGAAAGTGATACTGTCAAGTAGAAGAACTGCCTTAAACATGACAAATGCTATGCCCAGTGATTCCCCCACGTTAATAAATTTAACAGCCACAACATTTATACAGAAATGGTTGAACAGAGGCTATGCCGACCTGAAGAAACTTCAGGTATATTATATTGTAGCATTTATTTTAGCAGGGGACAATCTACAAATTCAATGGACTGTGCATAGTCTTTGCCAAATTCTCATTTCTATTCCATTTTACAAACTTGCCGGAAAGATGCCGGGATCTCTTTAGCATTCCAATAACTTTGGTAGAAAAGGAGAGGATATTAAAGCAAATAAAAGGCTCTTTGCTCATCTTAGAACCCTGACGTTTGCCAAAATAATTCAACCTTGGCGTTCGTGGCAGGAAACAAGCTGGTCTAGCAGCAAACAAAGACTTAACAGATTTTAAGTATCATTAACCAGTCTTGGCAGCACCCCTTCCTTTGGAAGCTACTGAGGCCACTAAACTAACAAAGGGCAGTTAACTAGAGACACTCGATAAGAAAGAAAGATCCCACAGACTACAAGGTTGCATAATAACGAGGCATAACTCTGTTATCCTACCTAAAGAGGACATTTCAATGATGCTCAGAGACAAGTGTGACTGCTAAACGCACATAATGGGGAAAAGAAGGTATTTCTTTTACCACTTGCCATTGACATGTTTAAGCCAATTTTCACACATGCAAAATTATACTTGGTGTCGGCAAGCACTTGACACTTTTTGGGCTCTGGCTGCTGTGAAAGGAAAAAGGCAAAAAGCAAGAGCTGTCCTTACGACCAGGGGCGTGCTTTACATGACTAAGGTCAGAGAGAGAGACAGAGATTCGGAGGGGCTCCCATTTAGCTTATATGGTTGTGAAAGCTTGGCTCACAGAATCCTATCCCAGAATTGTCTGAGCTCGCAGTGGGAATAAAATGTTAATAGACTCGTGTTTGCTCCCATTGTTCCCATCAAAGACCTTGTAAGGCTGCAGCATAACGCCCCTAGGCTAGTCCTTGGATCCCCAAATCTCTCACATGGGCCAACTCACATTACTTCATTTCACCAACAGTAAACAAGTGGGTAGGGGATATTCACTATGAACAGACAGCATGCCACGCTCACGCACCACAGTTCAGGCTTGTATCACGCACTTTCTGCAGAGGCGTCCCGATGTTCTCATCTAGGATCAGCCCAAACTCCCCCAAAAGACTCAGCTCTCGAACTGCTTAATCCAGAGAGTTGGCTGATTTGTAACAAGTGTCAACATCAGGCCATTCTCGCCAAAAAAAAAAAAAAAAAAAAGACCATGGGTGGACATCCACCCTAATTGAACAAACAGAAGAGGATGGTAATAAGGATGTCATATTGGCACCTTGCAGTGTAGAGTTTATTGTCCTTGCTTTAGTATTCCACTCATTAGTTCCTTCCAGAACCAAGAGGCAAGTTGTCTTTATCAAGAAGCCACTTGATCCTTGTGTATTTCTATTACAAGCCCAAGATCACTCCATGGATTAAGAAGGTCCCATTAAGAAAGCTCAAAAGATGACACATACCGGTTCAACAAAAACAAAAAAAGGAAGAAGTCCAAGTGCTTTTCAATGGTTGTGTACCAGACTGGGCTCGGCTGGCATTTCTCAACAAAGTAGTGCGTCATGCAGCTCCAATAGGTTTAGTGGTCCTGTGCACATGTGTAGAGAAGACAGTGGGCTAGGAGGGAGCTTCTTATTTGGTCTCTGGTTTGTCTTGTAGTAGTGGTATAACTGACTCCCACGCCGTAAGGCACTGCAAAAAAATAAAAAAAAATCCACATGTATTTACAAGAAACGGTTTAAAAAAAAGATTACATTACACACTACTGCCTTCTCAAAATCATAATCCACATGTATTTACAAGAAACGGTTTAAAAAAAAAAGATTACATTACACACTATTGCCTTCTCAAAATCAACCTGCCACTTAGGCATGCAAGTTAAGAGGTACCAAAGTGTGGTCCTCCTGGCCATCAGTTTAGTAGCTTGACAAGGGAGTTAAACAAACCGGTTTCTACATCGGCGGACAAAAGCAGCTGCGAGGCGGACGGTCAGGGTAACCCTAAGCATGCGAGTCATCAAAGTCCAAATGATTAGAAACCTGCAGAGTTACACTGAAAGGAACCCCGGCAACATTTGGAAAGCATCAACAGGCCCAGGGATTGGGAAGAGGTGTTATTCTGAGGGTACAGACTGTTTCTCACCACTAGAAGCAGCGCACGGCAGCTAGCTGGCTGGTAAAGTTGTAAGTAGAGAGTAGGGAAGAGACTTGGTGATAAAGAGAAAACTGAGAAACTGTTCCTACTTCCCCTTCTGGCAGCTATAGGGGTTCACTGGCCGCATGAGCTTTCACCTAGCAGGATAGATGGGGAGTGTCCAGTTAGGGTCCACAGACGCCGCTGACTAGGAATCCAATTATTTGCGGTTTCTTACACAAATGAAATATTATATCCAGGGCAATTTCTTTCATGCTGGTCTAGTAGGCTTGGACCCTGGTTTTCATGGGTATTTCAGCATTATTCTGCTCAACATTTTTGGGTACTGTGCTGTCGCACATTGTGTGCTAGAGCTCTGCCTGTCCCCTTCGCTTCTGACATGGGTGAACTGCGGGGTGGCGGCCATGTTCTGAGCACTGCCTGGGAGCCCTCCTTTTGAGATCTGTTATCCTTCATCAAATTATTCTGCTCAACATTTTTGGGTACTGTGCTGTCGCACATTGTGTGCTAGAGCTCTGCCTGTCCCCTTCGCTTCTGACGTGGGTGAACTGCTGGGTGGCAGCCATGTTCTGAGCATGGCCTGGGAGCCCTCTGTTTGAGACCCGTGATCCTTCATCAACACTCGTGTCCAGACAGCTCCTGACTGCGTGAGGGCCTCTCCCCCATCGGCTGAGACACTACTTCAGCTAGAAAGAGGCACAGAAAGTGGTCCACGCAACTAGGTGAATCCCTGGCTGGCTGCTACTATGGACCCCATCGACATGCCTGACTCCTGGTCCCTGCCTCCCAGCCTGTTTCTGCCCTCCTTATCCCAGACTGCTTTGGGCTGCAAGGGCCGAATTAAGAGAGCTATTTCCCAGCCTCCATGTCCTTAACCGTACTAGGTAAGCATGTTTGACTTTTCCTCCCGTGAGTCAGTGAAAATCAGAAGCAGGAAGGGGGCACCCCTGGTATTTGCAGGATCAGGCCCTCGTTAACCTAGCAGCAGGAGTAGCCCCCAATACAGATGGTTTCTGCTTGTCAGACAAATCCAGCAGCATCAGGGTTGAGTAAAAGAGGCAAAAAATATGGGGGGGGGTAAGGGGAAAGAGAATCTTCATCTGGTAGAAAATGCCAATTATTGAGTTAACAGTTCCCTTGTGTAACTCCATTGTTCTCATTACATTTAGCCCCTGGTTAATTAGTTACAGCACAAGAGCTAACAACCTGGGAATACCGAAACTCTCTGTGGAAAGTCAGGCTAATCAAGTGCCTTTCCCCACACAGCAGCTAACCTAAAAAACTTAAGCACCTGATGTGAAGTCCTGCCACTGAGCACTAGTTCTTTATAGTAATGCAGGGTTTGCCATTTTTGAAAGCCACCCCTGACAGTCACTCCAAGGGGTTATTTGTACGAGACCATCAGTGCTGTTACCTTCTCATAATATTGGATGTTTTTATCTGCCATTCCCATAAGCAGCTGCCTGAAATCTTGCCTCTTGTTGTTCTGCCATCGCTCCATGTCAGCTTTCAGGTCAGCATTGAAGCATTCCACTCGGTCCTGACATTTTTCAACCTCCACTGGCACCTGAAGCAAGAAGCAGATTTTTCTGCAAGACTGTGGCTCTTTGAATAATGGTCCCGCTCCCAGCTGATCAACTGTTTCCCCTTGTTTCAAATACATTTTAAATTATTCAGACCATGCTAAATAAGAAAAAAAAGTGAATAAAAATATTT